ATTGTTACAGAGTATTTTAGAACTGATACAAGGACAATTATATGTGCATTGTTACAGAATATGATATTCTGTAACAATGCACATATAATTGTCCTTGTATCAGATCTAAGATATTGTATAACAATGCACATATAATTGTCCGTGTATCAGTTCTAAGATATTTTGTAACAATGCACATATAATTGTCCTTGTATCAGTTCTAAGATATTCTGTAACAATCCACATATAATTGTCCTTGTATCAGTTCTAAGACATTATATAACAATGCCCATATAATTGTCCTTGTATCAGATCTAAGATATTGTATAACAATGCACATATAATTGTCCTTGTATCAGTTCTAAGACATTATATAACAATGCACATATAATTGTCCTTGTATCAGATCTAAGATATTGTATAACAATGCACATATAATTGTCCTTGTATCAGATCTAAGGTCCTTGTATCAGTTCTAAGCACATATAATTGTTCAATAGAGTTAGTGTAGTGGACGTTTATTTTACAAAACTTCTGTACCTTTGTTAAAGCTCTGTTCACACCTTTAGAAGATGTTCAATAGAACTGTTCTTATTGTAGACTTTACTCTTTTACCAACAGGAGTTGTTAAATTACCCTTTGACCAACAGGAGTTGTTAAATTACCCTTTTACCAATAGGAGTTGTTAAATTACCCTTTTACCAATAGGAGTTCCCGAACCACCCTTATTCACAGCTTCTGTTGTTATAATGAACACGTTTCTGATTTTTGTATTTGTGTTATTCGATCTACACGTTTGGAATTCCTCCAGTAAAAACGTATACAGATTTCATTATTGACCTTTAAAAATTTGAATATGACCTATTTATAATAAGCATGTTATCTACCGAAATATCATTATATTAGTCAAGTAAGGATACGTCTGTAAATCGTACTTGTTAATTTTAGTTAGCTGTTCAACTTCCTCTTCAAAATGGGATAACAATTTCCCGGAACTGATGGTCACTCCACACGCTGGACAAGACGACGACTGTCCATCCGACAGACCACTCTTCATCCCTTCTATAACGTAAAAAACAAAAGATTTAAGTAAATAATCAACTGAGAAATATATAATACGCAATAGTTGTTTACTTTTTTACTGATATATTAACCGGTAGTAGCGAAGAGACTAGCTTCTGTCTTGTATCAGTGTTAAGACGTTACATAACAATGTATAAAGTACACATAATTGTATAAAAAATTTTTACAATGGACGTTAATTATACAAAACTTCTGTACCTTCGTTAAAGCTCTGTTCACACCTTTAGAAGATAAAACATGCTACACCATCGTTGATGACAGATGTTTTCAGTATAACAAAGCATGCTACACCATCGTTGATGACAGATGTTTTCAGTATAATAAAGCATGCTACACCATCGACATTAACAAACGTTTCCAGCGTAACAAAACTCGCCGTACTAATGAGTTTATAGAATGTTATAAAACGCCTTATTTTTGTTCCTTAACACACACAATGGGATTCGGTAATAACACCCATATGAAAAAGAAGTGTTAAAAATTACCATCCATCTCATGATCAAACAACCTACTATGATATATATTTTAAATCGAATACATATTTTCTCTACGTAGAACGTAGGAGAAGAATAACAGAGAGAGCCGCTTACATGCCAGCGAGATTCTGAGGAACTCAGAGACTCTTTCTTTCTGCTGTACCCGGGAGAGGGCGTTCGCTATAATCAAAAGGATTATATTGAGATATCCATTTGTAATAAGCTAGATTTTGTAAAAATTACGTTTGTCAAAATAATAATAAGTAAAATCTGATTCAGTCCACCCATTATAATCACGTAGCTACTAATACAATACTGTCAAATCATGTTTCTGCCAAATGCCGAACTAAACGTAAGAACAAAAATGAAATTTAATTACATTTATTTAGCACTAATATTACCAGTATCAATACATGTATTAATATATGACCAAGATTGTATGGAGTGCATCGTTCATTTTTGTCGTGTTTGGAAACAGGTCTCACAATGGGACAGCGGTACGTTTATGGAATTTACAATGCTAAAATCCGGGGTTCGATTTCCCGCGAACACAACAGATATTTCGACTATCAAATCTTTGGGAATTCTTTTAATTTCTTGAGAGAAATATGTGTCGTTTTATTGTTGTTGTTTTTTTGCGTAGAGCAGTGGTTCCCAGCCTTTGTTCCATCAAGGACCCCTTTGATTATCATTTTTCCCCCCACGAACCCCATGTTTTTGAAAGATTCCGCCTACTCAAAAAACTGTTTTTTATTAACTAATAATTAACTCGTTCTCCCACTTTTCACTATCAAATAAAAGACATATATAACTGAGTGTGCAATTAAAACAAAAACATCAGTATTAAAAAAAACTTACTTGTTTAATGAGATGCTGTTACCTACGCGGACCCCCAGGGGTCTGGGAACCACTGGCGTAGAGCTACAGAATCTGAACTCTGTCCGCTGCGGGAAATCGAACTGTCAATCTTCGCGTTGACCTGACATTTAGTTCGGGTTTAACTTGTTATACATTTTCTACAACGCTAGGTAAATATTCCAAGTAAAACGCTTACCCTGTTTTGTGACGTTCCTTCGCTAGTTAACCTTTTGAAAGACCTGATGGAAAAAAATAAATGAATATTAATCAATAAATTTTATTGCATCTGTCGTACATGATTGTCTGGAGGAGATAAATAAATCAATTTTCTTCGACAAAAGTTAAATCTAACATGATTCTAACCCAATTATGCATCTACGTACAAGCTCGGCGAGTTAGTGCAGTGGACGTTAATTATACAAAACTTCTGTACCTTCATTAAAGCTCTGTTCACACCTTTAGAAGATGTTCAATAGAGTTAGTGTATTATGTTTTCAGTATAACAAAGCATGCTACACCATCGTTTTTAACAGATGTTTTCAGTATAACAAATCATGCTACACCATCGTCTATAACAGGTGTTTTCAGTATAACAAATCATGCTACACCATCGTCTATAACAGATGTTTTCAGTATAACAAAGCATGCTACACCATCGTTTTTAACAGAGATGTTTTCAGTATAACAGTATAACAAAGCATGCTACACCATCGTCTATAACGGAAAACATCTGTTAAAAACGATGGTGTAGCAT